AAATGTAACTGCACACAGGAAAATAGAGACATGAAACTATACACACTTGAAATTCATGATTTTTTGAAACTTTGAAAATTATATGAAATATTAGTCTGACAAAGAAATGTTATGGTTTCAAAATACACCTAAGGAAAAACAAATATCACAAAATGCTAGGAGGTGTGCCCACATTCATTTTGCTTTTCAGTGCAGTCCAAGCTAAGAAAATGACCTGATGCTTTCTACTCAGGCTGCTGCCTTCTTTTAGACATTTGGATCTGCAATGGAGATACTGTGCTGTTAGGAACAAGTGATTGTGAGGCTGATATAAAAATAACACAGCTTGTAGTTGTGAGAAAAGTCCTGCGTGGGACATGAGGCAAAATTGTCTTCAGTCACAGTTCCAAGCAAGAGAGAAAATCAGATAACAGTATGGGGAGGGCATTAATATCACTGGGGCGGAAGCATACAGGTTATTGTGAGATTTTAAAAACATAATATGTTTCTGCTACTGGTGAAGAAAGGAGTGTCATCATGACCAAGTATGCTATCATAAGATATCTAAGGAGGCTTCTTTATCTCTGCATCACAAATCCCTTCATCTTTTAAAAAAATTGTGACCTGTAGAAAGTATAACATATAGTAGGAGAAACCATTTGCAAGTCCAAAAGACAGAATCCATTGAGACTGAACACTTATTCTATGGAAGAGTCCTGATCAAAACCTAGCCGTGGTCAGAAAAATGTACGTACACATCATGCCCGGTGAGAGTTTCTTAGCTTGTTTGCCTTCGTTGTCATTCTCAGGTCCATCTTGCGGTTTCCTCAGCCAGGGCTCAGTGGTGATTTTGACAGGCCTTAGAGGCAGCAGGGTCTAGGCTCCCTGACCATCAGCCAACTCTTTTGCTCATTTGCCCTCCTTTCTTCTCCATTCAAACAGCTGAGCTATCTCCCTTCAGATGTTCTCACCAGCCTCTCAAACTCAATGTGTTCAAAACTTCAGCTCCTAATTTTTCTCAATCTATCTTCTATTCATGGAATTCTCATTGCTCCAAGCTCCCTGCTGCCTCCTAATCCTGTTGCTAGAACCTCTAACGTTCTTATACTGTTTTCTTGTCCCTTATCACCACCCTGGTTATCAGTCACCTCTTAGTAAGTCTTGGTCAACTGGCTGACTGAGAATACATTCTCCAGCCAGTTCATGATTTCATCTCCATGTTTTGTCACTACATTCCCCTGATAAAAAAAATGCTGATGCTTCACAAGGCATCGTGTCCGGTCTCCTTCCTATTAGCTTGACTTTTGGGCTCTCCATGATCATGCCCCATTCACTCTGTTCTCTCCACCGACCTTCCCAATCCCACATTACTTCCAACAGGTCCCTTTCTTTTAGCTGGGTAGCTTAGACCCATGTGTCAGGTTCCTAGACCCCCTTATCCAGACCCAAACACCCCTGTGCATGTGAAAACACTTTACAAATTGAACCGCTTCCCACAAATGTTGCTATTGTGCATTCTGCAAAGCCTAGTTACAACTACCTCTTTAAGCCTTCCCAGACCCGTTTGTCTCATGGTGGCACAATTAGAGTGTTCAAAGGTGAAAATACATATGCCTCACGACCCCAGCAAATTTACTAGGACATTGTATCTATTTTCATCTCAAGATCTGATGTAGAAACTAAATTAGTGCATAATTCATTAGCCTGTATTGATATATGGTTGTTTCCTCTTCAGTCATGTTGTGTATCCTCCCTAATTGCAATGCATTACTTTAGAAATGGTTGTATAGACAGACAATATAGGAAAGTCAATAACAGATTATATAAATTGGGCTTTAACTTCCAGGTCAGAAAAAGGGCAGCCTTTATTTTCAGGGCCTCTGCCGCATAATGAAATTGTACTGGAAACCTTGGACGTATTTTTTTGTGGGGCAAATACTTCATTCAAGGAGTTGACAAATAAATGTTAGTGGGAAGGAAATTATAGCAGAATATGGCTTTCTTTAATTGCTCTGTTCCTTTTTCCTTTGAATTTGTGTGACTGCCAACACACCAGCATCCTTTCCTTACCCAGTACAAGTTTTAGCTCCAATAACTTACTTGAGAATAGCTAGCCTGCTTCTATGTCAGGATAAAATGAGAATATCAATCTAAGTTACTATTTCAGAGAAAACGGAAAAAAAAACTGGAAAGGACTAAAAGCCAGTTAAAAATTTACCACATGCTGCACAGCAAAGGAAACAACAGAATGAAAAGACAACTCATGAAATGGGAGAAAATATTTGCAAACTAAACCCATATCTCATAAGTGTTTAATATCCAAATTATATAAGGAGCTCCTATAACTCAATAGCAATAAAACCAAATAACATGATTTAAAAATGGAAAAAGGAATTGAAAAGACATTTTTCCAAAGAAAACATACAAATGGCCAACAGGTATATGAAAAAATACCCACCATTATTAACCAACCCTAGGGAAATGCAAATCAAAACCACAGTGAGATATCACCTCACACTTTTTATGGTGGCTGTTAAAAAAAATAATAATAATTGTTGGTTAGGATATGGAGGAATTGGAACCCTTTTATACTGTTGGTAGGAATGGTGCAGTCACTATGGAAAATAATATGGAGGTTCCTCAAAAAATTAAAAAATAATTGAAATCAGATCTTGAAGAGATATCTGCACTTCTATGTTCATCACAGCATTATTCACAATGCCTAAGATATGAAAACAACTTAAATGTCCATCATTGGATACAGAAAAAATATATATAATGGAATATTACTCAGCCATTAAAAAAATAAGAAAATCCTGCCATATGTGACAACATGGATAAACCTGCAGGAACATGATGCTAAGTGAAACAAGCCAGTCACAGAACAAGTACTGCATGACACCATTTATAGGAGGTATCTAAAACAGTCAAACTCATAGAAACTGAGAGTAGAATGGAGGTTGCCAGGCGGTAAGGGAGGGGAAATGGGGATCTGCTTTTCAGTGGGTATAAAGTTTCAGTTATGCAAGATGAACAAGTTCTAGAGATTTGCTGTGCACATAGTTAATATTGTGCCTCTGGTTAACAATACGTACTCTACAAGGTCTGACAATTAAGATCACGTACTCATCCTAAAAAAAGTGCTATACACCTCACTGCTGAATATCACTATGGTCACCTTTGAAGTACTCTCCTTGGGAAGATATGCACCAATGCCAGTGCCTAGTCCACACTTCAAAGCAATTTTGGAACTCTTTTTCTGGAATGGCCACCAGAGCTGTCATTGTATTACACTTGATTCCCTGAATGTCATCAAAATGTCTTCCTTTCAATATTTCCTTTATTTTGGGGTAAAGAAAGAAGTCATTGGGGGCCAAATCAGGTGAGTAGGGAGGGTGTTTGTTTACTGGCTAAAAACTCCCTCACAGACAGTGCCGTGTGAGCTGGTGCATTGTTGTTGATGCAAGAGCCATGAATTGTTGGTGAAAGTTCAGGTCGTTTTCATCTAACTTTTTCACGCAAACTTTCCAGCAAATTGTAAACTTGGTTAACTGTTTGTCCAGTTGGTACAAATTCATAATGTGAATAATCCCTCTGATATAAAAAAAAGTTAGCAACATCGTTGCAACAAGTTTGTGAACTTAATTGTCAGATCTGTATAATGCACTTAAAATTTTGCTAAGAGGGTACATCTCATGTTAAATGTTCTTAACACAATAATAATTTAAAAATTACCACATGTGGTTTTCAATGGACTTTGTTGCAGGTTTTTGAAGTTACACACATTTTTTAATCACTTGGCAGTTAGGGAAGGGTGACAATATTTGTTTGTCCTTTGGGGCCTCTCAGGTGGGGTTGCCGGATTTGGCAAATAAAAAATATAGGATGTTGTACAGTAGTTAGGACATACTTCTACCAAAAACACGTTTGTTGTTTATTTGAAATTCAAATTTGACTGGGTATCTTGTATTTTATCTGGCAACCTTATTCTAAAGGCCTGAATCTAAACACTTGCTGAAAGAGGTTAAGGAACCAGCATGACACCTGGCATGAGAATGAGAGCCCAGTATTTGACCCAGAGTCCAGCTCTTCACTCTCATGGGAAGACATCTAAACCCAGGTCGCTCTTCTCTGTGCTCCATGAAAGGCCAACGAGGAGAGAAGTGGATGTTCCCTTGAGGAAATCTTTTAAGAGGCCTTGAGAATAGGTATAACCATGATAGGCCCAAACTCTGCTTTAGCTCAAAGTGAGCAGGGTTGGTAGAAAGAAGGAGAGAGGGAATAGGAAAACGGGGGCACAAAGTCCATGGCAACTCTACAGTCGGCTCTCTGTCCTGGTTTGGATCACTTCCTCACCCAACATGGTGGATCAAGGTCTAGAATGTCTGAGTTGTCATCTCCCACGGTAGATGGCTTCCTTAGAAATATTAACTGAAAGGCCACCCAAGGTAATGTGTTCCCCTCCTCGCGCATTTTCACTACTGAGATGCAAATGCCCCTTTCCTAACCCAGCTTCCCAGTGGCTGCTTTTAGATTGAAGGAGTCTGCTTTCCTAAAACTGCCAGGTGCTATAGAACAATCCGCACTTCCACAATTGGCTGCTACCTTTCTCTAATATCTTCACGCAGACATTTAATTGGAAAAGGATTACAAATTTCAGAGACATCAGCCAAGAGGTGCAGATCTCCACGAGGGTTTAGAAACATGAGCAAGGCACAGGAGAGGGACAGGGACCAGGACCAGAGTTGCCTTTCGTATTTATCAAATTAAAATCTCTCACACAAATAGAAATGTAATCGATCACCTTTCATACTGGAAATGTAGGTCATTGATAAGAGAGGTAGAGCCCTTCCTTCAAGTAAGCATTTGAAAAATGAAATCATTTTTCTGAAGCATATGGGAGAGCAGCCATTTTGACCCCAGCCAGCGCAGAACTAAAATACATTGAAGGGGACTAAATGCGAGTTCAGAAATCTGGGTTTAAAACTGCTTATTTCATTAGAAGAATATATGTGTGGCTTTTAATTTTTCCCTCTTTTGAAATTACACATTCTCCTAGAAAAAGCAGTTGATCAAGAAAAACTGTCTTATCCCAAGGGGTGAAAATAAAAGAAGACAATAAAATAAAAGAAGAGCTAAAAAGTTGTAATTTGTTGTTGTTGTTGATATTTGTGCTGCAAAGCGCTCTGTTAGGTCCTAACAGAACAAGGATATGTCCGTCCCCTTCCTTTTCTCCTTTTGTCCCTCTGACCTCCCTGGAGCTTGTTTAAAAGGCTTATGTGGCAAACAGCTGGTGCCCTCTGCTGGAAAGCAACAATTGTATTTCTTGTGTCTGTTGTAGAATTCAGAGCTTAACATTTTGGTAAAGAAAGGATTCATTCTCTGCTCTAATTTATTACAGTGTGTAGTGATATTTTATTTTCTAAAAGCTCAAAACGCAAAACGTGAAACACTGTCAAGTAATTAACAGAATATTCAGTACTTACAAAGATTCATTGAAAAACTAAAAAAGAGAGCTAATGAATTCAACTGACATTTTAAACTATCTAACAGAGGTATTTGTTGTACATGTGGTTTTAGTTTAACATAACACAAAATCTGTGCACTTAACCTGAGTTGGAAATGACATCTGAACTACAGAGATTTTAATTCACAAAAATAATTCTCTTGAAAATATAAGCAAAATATAACCAATTGAGGAGTTTCCCTGAAGCTCAGGGCTCAGTCGCAGGACAGGAATGAGGGAAAACGCCCTGCAGGTCAAAAGCTCTGCTGAAGTCATAGGATTGTACTTGTGGGCCCTTAGTCAGAGTGAGCTTTCTCAAACACCCACGGAAGGAAGTCTGGCTGCTCAGGCAGTTTTGCTTTACATCAGCTGTTTAGGAAAGAAGAGAAGTCTTGCTTAATTTTGTTAAATGACTTGGACAACACAATAGGAATGAAAAATAATCTCAAGTGGTTTCTATATCAAAACGAGAATACGATTCTCCCACATAGGTGGCTTCGATGATAATGTAAGTTAATGAAAACTTTTAATTGTGCAATCATTTTAAGGCATAGTTGTGACTTTAAAAATCTTAAAAGATATTTATTTTATTATCATTTGTAACAATTACTTGGACCATCTGAAAATGCATAATTCTAACCTGAAACTGATGTGAGAGGATACGACACATGTTTGTCCTCTGAAAAGATTACCCACCCCAAAATGATTCCCTATTCTGGGAGACATCTAAGATGATTTGCCTCAGTAAAGTCATTCAACTTACTTTACGCCACATCCAATATTCTTAGAGTCTTACCTAATGATCAGTTTACGAGTGTAGATTATTTGAACTTTTCCAATAATTCCTAGGTATTTGAAATAGCCCTTCTAAAATGATAAAGGGTTTGTCATTCAAACCATGTATTTTTCTTAATCCCTATTCTATATCCACCTGAACTAAGACTGGCACCAGTGCCAGTGCCACTTAAAAATGAATAAGCAGAGCAGACATCCAGACGTACCAGGATAGCCGCCGACGTAAATGGGATTATTGGTGTCCACTGAGGTGGACTGGGTGTGTGGACTTTCAGCATGAACGGCATTCCCATCGACAATCAGAACCACACGGTGTTTGCTCTTGTGAGCTTGCAGGGTGTGCCATGTTCCACTGCAGAGGCTGTTAGTGGCTTTGGGCTTATATGTGGCCGTTATCCGACCAGCACCATTGTTAACGTGAAACAAGAGCTAGACAAAAAACAGACACAAAGATAGACACATATCTTGGTGAATTTTTTCATATTTAAGGAACACAACCATTTACGTAATGTGCTTGGAGTGGATAAAATCCCAGCATTCTGCCAAAAAGGAGAGCAAACTATAAAACACAATTGTTTTGAAAAATAGCCTCTTAAAGGATTCAGATGCTATCTTATCCCTGAAACTTCAGAACGGGCAAATGCCCACCTCCTATAGGTACAAGGCTGAGCACTGTCAGCATTGTGTGCTCAAATCAATTCCTCTTTTTCAGGACAATGGGAACTGATGGGTTTACTGAGGGTGTCAGTCCACACTAGTTGCTAGCACCTATGAAGGAACATTTATTAACTCCCTTCTGACAAACTACAGATGCTCTACCACAGCGAGTGGTAACACACAAAAGATGGGAGGGAAGAATTGTAAGTATACTGCTGTAAGGTTCTTATGCTATATGTGAAGTTACTCAGTATCATGTCAGGGTAGCTGTGACAAATTAAAGATGTATATTATAAACCCTTGGGCAACCACTAAAAATGTTTTAAAAGAACAATAAATAATAAGCCAATAATCTGGTAAAATATACAACATTCATATGTCAGAAATTACATTTTTCGCAACTATTATACTGCTGATAACATTTTTAAGATGTCACATAAAAATGTGCAAATGGATACACAATTTTTCATAATTCTTTTGAAGTACAGGTGAGAAAAAAAGTTAGTTGTAAGTCACAGTGTAGACAGGAAGCAATATGATGTAGAGACAATTTTGTTTCTATATGAAAATGAAGTAAGTGGGGAGAAGAGGTGAGGCACAAGCAGTCCGATGACTTTCTTATATTCTCCCCATCCTCATTCTAGGATCTCCTAGGGACCAAAATTTCTGTGGGGAGTAAGTAGGGAAATACTAGAAACAAGCGATTGAGTTTGGGGGAATCTACAGCGTAGAAACTTGTTCCCTGCCTTCCAGGAGGCAGTATCGGGAAGAGTCAAGCATCTTAGTCCCACAGTAACATGAGCTGATCACAGTGCAGCGGGAATAGTGGCAAAATGCAGTGAGAGAGAGAGGACTCGAGAGACCACCACTCAGATGCTCCATGGCCTGTGCTGGCACAGCAGACATTCCAACTCTGGGGGTAGGTGACTGAAGATGAAGAGGCAGCAGTGCCCATGACAGCTGGGATGGAAGCCTGATCTGCAAAGGACGGCCAAATCTCCAGGAGCAGTCTCCACGCACTGAGACCTCAGACTGCTCCTTATAACCAGCCAGGAACAACTGACCAACTGCACAAAAGACAGGCTGTGTCTGAAGATGTGGAGAGATGAGTTATACCTCACTGCTGTTAGGAGAGAGCCCACAGAAAAGAAAAAGGGCAATTAAGACTCCCTTTCCCCGGGCCGGCCGAGTGGCACGTTGGTTAAGAGCTGGCTTGGGACGCCAGAGGGCCCCGGTTCGGATCCCACATATGAGGGCCAGTGACACTGCCCTCCACAGCTAAGATGCTGAACAACAGCTCAACCTAGAGCTGGGCTGCTGTGAGTCACTGGCGATGGCGTAGGCTGCAGCCCCTGTGGCAGTGGGTTGCCACAGGCTACCATGTGTAGCCAGCAGCCAGCGTGAGCGGCCAGCAGCTGCTGTGAGCAGCCGTCCAGAAGCCGGCGACTGATCTGTCTCACCCGGGAAGAGCGCAATGATGGTGCCAACTTGGGCCAGTGAAGCAACGTCCTCCACAACTAGACTGAAGAACAAAACGACAGCAACTTGTCTGTTCCCCTTCCCCCGATTCCCCAATTTAAAAAAAAAAAAAAAACTCCCTTTCCCCAAACCTTGCAAATAAGATGCACTCAGATGGACCCAAACAGGACAGGAAAGAGAATGAGAACTGGGAGAAACTCTGAAGGAGGCCATTTTAAAGCAGAAGAGACTTAAAGTACTGTTAATTGTTGAGTTCATTTTGTTCCCTACATAAGAAGGACTTGAACCTGAAAAGCAGGAGCAGAATAGTTATAGAGAAAAAAAATCACTTTTTTTTTCATTGAAAAAATTAGACTGTGGTACATCTATCTCATGGAATACGCTGTAGTGAAAAGAAATGAACTATTGATACACACAACAACCTAGATGAACCACCAGGAAATGAGGCTGAGTTGAAAAGCCAATCTCAAGAGGACACATATTGCGTGATTTCATTTGTAGAGCACTCCTGAAATAACAGTTAGAGAGATGGAGAACAGATTAGTGGTTGCCAGAGGTTAGGATGTAGGGGGAGAAAGTTAGAGGCCATAGCTCAAGGGAGCCTGTGGTAATGGAACAATTAAGTGTCTTGACTGTGGTGGTGGTTACATGAAGCTACGTATGTGATTAAATTGGGTAGAGCTACACACACATACATGTATAAGTAGCATAACTTAAACTTAGAGGATTGTGCCAATGTCAATTTTATGGAATTGATGTACTTACTAGTTATGCAAGATGCTAACCCGGAGGAGCCTAGGTGAAGGGTGCATGAGGAGCTCCCTGTACATTTCATGGCAACTTCCTATGAATCTATAATTACTTCTAAATAAAAAGTTTACAAATGTTAGGGGAAATGGGGCATCAAGTTGGCAACTTACTTTAAGATGGATCAGAAAAAAAGTTCTTTGTATTGTAGTTGTAATTTTGCTGTGAATATAACTTCAGAATTACAAAAGAAATTATTTTTTAAAAGCTTTTTAGGATTATCTATTTTTTAAATATTAACTGAAACTCTTCTTCATTCCGTTAAAGTGGATAATTGGAAATGTGGATCGAAGTATTTCTCAACTGCTCTGTCTCTGACACTGGGGTAAGGGGGAACCCCACTGAGATGAAGCACCTACCTGGCCATTCACAATCTCTAATCCAATGGCATCCACTTTGGCACTGCTGATCCCCAGGAGGACGCCATTCTCTGAGGAGGTACGAAACTCCAGTGTGATGTTTACATCTGATCGGACTTTGTAGCCTTCTTTGACTGGAAAACACAAGGAGACCCTTGAGTTGGTGGTGCGCCCTGGCCAGCCCAGGAAGGCTCAGGCTCAGAGAGGCCTTGGACTGGGCGGGCTGAGCACTTCCGCTCCTGACTGAGATTCGGGAGACCTGTCTCCAGCTTTCTCTGTATCCAGCTCCATCCCTACCAGCGAGTTACCTCTGACCTCTGAGCCTTAGCTTGCACATCTGTAAAATGAAGTGACACTTTTAAATAAGACACACAATCGGGGGCTAAGCCATACTAGGGCCGAGGCAGGCCCATCCTCTCATCTAGAGCCACGTAGGGAACAACAAGGAAAAGGGATTTGATCCAATATAACCCCTTCATCATCTATTCAGAAATAGTCTACTTTATTTTCCCACTGTCTACATACTGGGTATGTCATCATTTACTGAGTGTATTAGTGAGAGTCCACACTAGGTTTTTTTTTTAAGTGAGGATTTAATTGAATGAATTTTTTTATTCAGGTGACTTAAAAAGCTGACATCAATTGGGGATATTATCAATAGCAGGCAGTTGTTACCACACCCAGGGTTGAAGGAAACATGGGAGAAGGTGGTGCTACCAGAGCTTGGAAGAATGGAGGTGAGACATGTGCTGCATACCCTCTCCTCCCTCCCGACCGGCAAATCAGTTATCTAAAACGGGGAGGGAATAGCAGGTACATTGGAAGGGCTACCTCTAAACATTGAAGACTTTACATTCTAAGGCAATGTATAGATTTAAATTCCTCGACTTCTAATTGATTAATATTTTCAGTCTAAATGGAGTTAATTTCTTCATCAAATCTGACTTGCATTTATTTGGCTGGGTGGTCTGGATATTTTATGCTGCTGACTTTTAATTCAAAGGCCTTTATTAACTTGGACAGTGAAAGCATTCCTTACCTAAATTTAGTAAGGGTATAGATTAAACCTGCACGTTACCCTCTGCCGGGAGTTGCACCGACTCTAGGGGAGGAAGCCTTTGTCAGGCCATCTGAGTGGCACAAGAAGTGAGAAGGCTCATACATTAGAAGCTGAGAAATAAGAATTAACTGAAACACTTAACTAAACGTGGTCTTGCTGCAGCCTTGTCCAGTGGGTCCTGTCCTATCATACAATTCTTGGATTCATAGCCGCTGAGCGTGCAGGTGAATCCAAAAGATTTCTTGGAGATTGTTGATAATACATACCGAGAGCCGCATAGCCACTTCCTTCAAAGAAAGTTCCTTCCTGGACCTCTGCGTAGCACCTGGCTACTGCAAATGCAGACACTGGGCTGCCCTTGGTCAGCTGTTTGCTGTTCACTGTCACCTCCCCAATGCAAGCGGGGATGCTGTGGGTGATCTAAACCAAATGATGAGAGAGCAGACGGTGGTGAATACAACCAAGGGCAATTTTTTCCTATACTTCAACAAAACACATTAAAACGCTATCTTTGGGTTTTTAAAATCTAATTGCCACAATACTTCACATGAATGTCTAACTTAATGCTGCTATTTGAGTATCTTTGCTAATAATGCCATAAACATGTTTTCTATTACTTTGATTAAATATTGTGGACATCAAGAATGAGGAGCTTTCTCATGTGCAAATACAGATTCCCCGGACTTTCCTGAACTGTATTGGGGCTAAGGGGCTGTGGAAAGAAACACGTTCACCAACTGACAGGCAGGAAAGGCTGGTCAGGCTTCAAGGGGAAGCCTCAAGACCCAATCTGGGGATGAGGTTCGAAAGGTTGCATCTTGCAGCCAAGCCCCAGGTCCAAACAAGGTAATTTAAACATAAACATGTTCCTCTACAAAATAACCACCACCACAATACAGGTAAAACGGGCCCCATACAGAAAACGCTGCTCACATTTCCAATGTTCCTGGCCCTGTAATCGGAGGGGAGGCCTCCCAGGTACAACTTTCCTTCCACATCCAATGTGGTGCCATCGCCCACTGTGGTCACCATGGGGGACTCCTGGCCATCAACCACCATGAAGCCCTTTCTTTTAAAGTATTCTGTCTTTACCTAGAGCAAAATGAAAATATCCATGATTTTTAAGGAATCTGAGAAAATTTTGACAATGTTTTTTTGCAACTCTGTTCATTTTGGCTATAATACCCTGAATGACATCCTAAGGGATGGCTCAGAGTTTCACACAGCCAGTGGTGAGAAGGCATTGAGTCTGGCAGAAGACTGGAATCAGGCACAAGCAATGTGTGCTTCAGAGCAGAAAGTGCTCCAGAGTCCTAGTGATAAAAAAGCAAATGCCATGCTTTCAGGTTTAGCTCATCCACACCATGGATGGGCTTGATTTACTTCTCATCATATCACGAACATTTTGGGTACTTTTCATTCACTCCACCAGTGTGTGCTGAGTGCCTATGAGGTGTCAGGCACTGAGCTAGGCCCTGGGGATATTCCAGGAAGAAGAAAAGGTCACTGTTTGCAAGAAGCTTACATTTTATAGGGGAGAAGCCAGACATTAAGCGAGCAGAAATCAAAGGGAAAATTTCACTGCAGTGAAACGCAGTAGACACATGGGACAGATGGAACAAAACTCAGAAGGCATGACCAGAAGCTTCTTGAAAGCGTACCGTGTGCCACTTGCCATCACTGAGCAGCGCAGGGTGAGAGACTTTTGTTCTGCCTTTCCCAAGATCAAATAGGAAGTGGAGGTGGCCCCTGTGCAGCTGGAGTGTGGCGTAGTCCACTTGGTTCTGGTGAGCCATGTAGTAAATGAGACCACTGGAGGCAAGCGTACGGATACGTAGCTGAACTGAGAGCCTGCAGGAAAATAAGAGCTCAGTCCTCAGAAAGGAATAAGCTTGCACGTTTGCTTTTTAAAATAACCTCAAAGAGAGAACCCAATAATTATTTCAACATTTGTTTGCCATCCATTCACTCAGCTGATGGTTACTGCGTCCTTATTTCTGCCAGGAACTGTTCTAGGAGTGGACGCTAAAGTGGTGAACAAAAGGAAGGTAAAGCTAGTACCAGAAATACACCAGAGAGTAAAAATTGTGTCGTGAGCAGGCCAATGGAACATTAAGTAGTCAGGTAGGTGACTCTGAAAGTAGGTATTTCAGCTGAGATCTGAATGACAGACAGGAGCAAGCCCCACAGAGCCAGCAGGACAGGCCTGCATTTTGTTTTCAGACAGTACAGAGTATGTTAAAATGATGGGCTCAATCATGGCGGACAGCCAGGAGTCCCCAACTGGGGCCATGTGGGAGATGGCACCACGCAGGGGTGGAGGGATGGTTGCGTCTGGGTGTCCTCCCATAGCAGGAAGCATGACATCACTAAAGCACACAGGGAGGGGAAAGGAGGGTGTGGCTCCACCCTCATGGATGAGGGGCTCTGGAAGGCAGTATTTGGAGTTTATTTTAAGTGCAGTGGGAAGTCAAGGAGGGTTTTAAGGAGGAGAGTGGGCATGGGTTGACTTATATCTTAAAAGGAACCTCTGATGCGAAGAACAAATCAGGTGGGGACAGGGTGACAGCAGGCATTAGGCAGGCAGCTGTTAAACAGTCCCCAGGAGGCTGGTGGTGACTTAGAGCAGGGTGGTGGTGGGGGATGCAGAGAAGGTGAACTAATGCACAAAATGTTCTGGAGGAAGAAGCAATAGGACTTGCAGCTAGACTGAACTTGGAGAGTGAGGGACAGAACATAACCTCCGGGTTTGGGCCTGGGGCAACCAAGTGCATGGTGGTGATGTCTACAGAAATGACAAAGAGCAGGTTTGGGGAAGACTGTGAACTTTCTTTTGGTGTTTTGAGGTGGAGGAGCCTGTCCAAATCCACATGGAGATGTCGAGTAGCCAGTTGGTTATACAGCTCCTGAGTTCTAAGTGGAGGTCAGGGCTAGAGATGCAGGTGTTGGTTCAAATAAATGGTATTTCAAAGTCATTGGAATATAGAAGGCCACTGTTGGAGAATATGTGGAAGAGGCCCTGGGCCTTCTCTGATGGAAAACGAGCCAGCAGAGGAGATGAGCAGGGGTGGGCATGGAGAGAACAGGAAATCATGGGAGCGTGGGCCAAGGAAGTCAAGTGGCCAAGTGCGTGTCATACTGTTGAGAGCGCAGCAGAGAAGGCACCCTGGGATGGGACGTGGCCACAACAGGTCCTGGACAACTCCGGCAAGTGCAACCAAGGAGGGAGGGGAGGCTGCCTGGGTGGCCTGGGAGAGGGAATGAAAGGTGAGGAAAGGCATACAGCCACATAAGGCAACTTCTTCAAGAAGTTTAACTGCAACAGAGCCAGCATATTGTGTGTGTGTGTGTGTGTGTGTGTGTGTGTGTGTGTGTGTGTGTGTGTGTGTGGTCTCCTGGAAAGTTTGTTTTAAAAGTTAGAAACTACGAGAGAAGTAGTGTTACAAGCATAGACACAAGTCACAGTGTCTGGGTTTGAATTTTTCTTCTGTGTGACTCTGAGCAGATGACTTAACTACCATATGCCTCAATTTCCATGTCTATAAAATTAAGCTAATGTTACCTTCCTCATAGGATAAGTATGAGGACTCAGTTAGGGTAAATGTGTAAAATACCGAGATAGCCTCCGGCACAAGTGTTTGCTCCTCTTATTATCACTGATGATCCTGCATGTGTGTTGGTGGAAATCATGTATGAAAGAGGGACAAATGGATACTGCCGACATACTGGAAGGGGAGAGAGGTGAGGGGCTCCAGAGGGCAAGCAAAAGGGGGAACAAGGACCCTTCCTCCATGTTGCCAGGGGAAGTGGTAGAGACATGGGGACAAAGGCTGGGGGTAGTGGACAGATGAAGGAGTTCTCTCTTCTCCATGAGGCAGGTCATCAGCTAGGGCATGAAGAGAGGCTGTGGGATGTACAGAGTTTTGAGCTAAGAGCAGAAGCTATGAACAATAAAAAATAGTGAACATATTAGAGAAGTATATTGGCTCTTCATATATTCTGGAGGTTCCATCTGAGATTCATGGCCATGACTTCAACGTCAAACCAGGTAGGAAGAAGATAATGCGTTTCCACAGCCTTGCCCACCAGGCATGGAGTTAGGACAAGTGTGAGTTTTACCTCCGGTCATGGTAGACAAGACGAGAGCATTACAGGAGTTTGCAAAGGAACATGTGTAATAATAGCATCCAACCTATCTGGGAAGGGCATCAATTGTGTTTCAGGGCTAGAGAAGGGTGTGATTATCATGGAAAAGCATGAGGGCTTAGAGGTCTTGATGTAGTTGAGGAACTGCTGAAATGGGGAGTAACAGAGTAGAGATGAGGAAGACGTCAGTTCATAGGCTGCTTAGAGTGTTTGGAGGTGGGATGGATACTTATGAAGCAGGCAAGGGTATGACTGTGGGGAGAGAGTAGCTGAGGAGAAAGGAGGAAAAGACCTTTGACAGATTGGAGCCAAAGGACTTGAAAGATCAAGTGTTGGGTGGCTGTGCATTCCTGGAGAATGATGGAAGGAGTGGTAGAAAAAAGACATTAATGCCTGAAGACAGCGATGGGGTGGTGATCACAGAGGACAGCGACAAGAGGTGCAGGGAGTAGCAGAGTCTGGAGGTGTGAACTTCAGACGGGCTGGAGATTCAGAGGAGGGAGGAAGGATGTGGAGTCCAGAGGAACTTCGGCCTGCTTCAGGCCTTGAGACCGGTGGGATGTGAACTGGCTTCCCCTAATAAAGGCCTTGGGGGACAGGCAGGTGTGAGGGCAAGAGGAAATGTGCAGGCTGGTGTGGGTGTGGCCCCAGGAATTTGGGGGAGGCACAGTGAAAGAGTTTGAGTAGACAATTGCATCAGATTAGTGAATGCTTACAGTAAAATGGGGTTGAAAGACTAGATGATAACAGATCTAGGGGACTTTGGATTCTGGAATAAGGAGTGATTTACATAGATACCTCCATGCTTTCCTACATATACACAGAGGCAGTAACCAGCCGTCATCTAGAAGAGGTGAACACAACCCACAGGAACGCCACTTAACCACAGTGTAAGCATCTGATTTGCATAAAGGCTGCAATTCTATCTCGTTGCCTTGTCACTGCTGCCATCTGGTTGCCAGTCAAGCACTCCCTAATAAAATAGAAATAGCTGCTTCTGGAAAAGACCCGTTGCTGAAGAATACCTCCCTGATTCATCTAGCAATAGAATACCTCATGAAGACTTCAGAACAATGCCTACCTCTTTCTAACAGCCAGCTGATTGAAAGGCAGGACAAAATGGCTGCCTTGCATGAGACCAAACTGGTGTGCATTGGGGACATACTCTGGGGCTCCATCCACGGCACACTGACGCTGTAAAAGATGCACAAGGACTCTCAGCCACACAGCCATGACCCCACTAACACGGGCACATTTTTCCATGAAGACAACATCTCAGAAGCAATCATATCAGAAGACCAAGGACCACAAATACATATTTGCACTAGTTTGATCGTCTTTGCTTTAAATAACTTACTTGCCAGGCCTTTTTCTCTCCGAGGAAGCAATTAGAGCGTCTCTCACCTCAATCCCACTCAAGTTGACTTAAATTCCCAGGAATTTTCATTAGGCCCAAGTGGTAAGGCTTTGCCGCTGCCCACACCTTCCACTCAGCTCGGAAGGGCCTGAGGATGTCAGCTGCTGCAGGACAGCTGCAGCACATGCACTGGGACACTGGGAGTGCGCACAGGTGACAGGCCTAGCAGGGCTTCCGAGTTTGACATCTCTAATTCCTCATGGACAGCAGAAGGTGCAGCCAAGAGGAGCCAGGCTGAAGGGGCTCCCAGAACCCCAGGGTAGATGTGAGGAGCCAGAGAAGGTGCTCAGGCACCTGCAGGTGCCCGGCTATGCCTTCTACACATTGACTGCAAACTAGGTAAGGCCTCAGACTCAGTTTTCTGGCTCGGGGTGGGCAGATGCTACCAGAGAGGTGTCCTGAACTCAAAGCCAGGTCTTGCTTAGAAGGAACTGCTTTTTGTGTAACTGCACCATCATCTAAATAATTAGACTGCATGCCTTCAACCAAGGGAATGGAAAAATCGGAAAAGGGAAAAGAAAATGAAAAGTAACAACGACTGCCATTAAAAATATTCGGTAAAAACTGGCTTTACCTAGATGAATCAAATCCATTTTTTAAAGCAACAATGACTTACATTAAGTACTTATTTTCATGTTTCTCATTATACCAAAGTGATCATGAGTCCTTATAGAAACTCTGCCAAAAAGTTTGCTGTGTGGCAGCCAAATGAGGCACTGAGTGTTATATCCTGCACTCTGTAACTGCTGTGCCATGTTATCTGTGAGTTTGCTCAGAGGGCCATTCCCCACCCTGCTCCTGCTCCGCTTTTATCACAGGGATGCCCCCCGTCACTTTTCCAAAGTGGCTTCCAGCTTGTTCCGCCAGTGGAAAGCAGTGCTGGGAGATTCCGGGGTGGGAAGACGGAAGAAGCCAGAGTGTTTCTCCCTCTCTTCCAGCTCCAAGAGGCCTCCCTGGAAGGGTCTATCTTCTCTGCGCTTCTGTGTCTACCAGAAGACTCACTCCTTCAGTAGCATCAGCTCCCAGGCTCAGACTGCACCAACCTCCTCCCTTTGTGTCACTGCTTCAGTGTGCCCAGTTTCCCCAACACCTTTGCAACGAGGCCACCATTTTAATTTCCTCTGGGCTGCACTCTTTTTCTGCCTGGATCTGACTGTTATGAAAGCAAACCCCTCTTACTGGACTTGGTAAAGGCTGGGGCTCTGGCAACAGCTTGCCCTCCTCTCCACGAAGAGCCAGCTGAGGCCTTTCTGAAAGCAAGCAGGCGTCCAAGTCCACTTGTTCATGGCCAACTGCACTAGTGAAATCCAAAAGCCTAGATAGATACAAACAAAGTGTTTTCAAAATTAATTAAGATATGACAAACCAATACATAAACCAATGCCATTTGATTATTGAACACTTAAAATCCATGAAAAACCATGGATATATTACTCTTAGAGTAACCAAATTGACCATCTTTCCAGAGTTCATATATCCTGTCTCATATATTGTTTTGTTTGGTTCTTCTGCCTGCCCCCCACTCCCTTAGCCCATCCTCATGTTGTCCAACTGGCCATTTCTGAGCATCCTTTAAGAGTTGGCTCAAACGTCGTCACCTCATCTTGTAGCCTTGGTTGGACTGCCTCAGGGGCAAATTCAAGATCTGGCTCTCACAGCACTGCACAGTAGCTTCAATGAAACACTGATTCTTTCTTACAGGTTACCCTCTCCCAGGAAGTTGTGAACTACAGTTATCATAAGTCCTTTTAACCTGAAGCCCTTGCAACATGTCCCCTGTCCACATATACTCTACTGGCACTTTCTGAGGACATGGCTATGAACAGCACAGAAATGTTTCTGCCCTATTGAGTTCTCAGCATCACAGCTTTCAGGAACATAAAGATGCTTAATCAATTAATCAATAAACAGACAAGTGGGTGAATAAATATATTAAGTGTACAAAAACTAAACCTAGGGTCTGACATTATATCTGTGTTGAAATCCAATGCAGTGTTTTATTTTTGCAAATTTCAAGGACTCGTAAGAGATTCTTTCACAAAGGATACCGAGACCATGAAAGATTCAAGTCCTTGATCAAGGTGACAAGGCAAGTCAAGAGGGGATCTTCAGTCTCTTGATGCTAAGTGCACATGTAGCTTCTCTTTTGTAGATTCTTGTCTGCCCAGGTCAAAGCATGGCTTTTGTCCCATCAGCACACTGACTACCAGCAGAAGGTCAGTGAGGAGGAATGAAATGCCCATGGGTGTATATTAATTCTCTTGTTCATCATGAGTTCCACACAGGGGAAGGAAACTTCCAGTTCTTAATTAGACATTAATTGTTTTAGGAGGAGCCATTAATATGCTGAAGTTTCAAGTAGCCCAGTTGTAAAGGCTCCTTTAATGCAATGCGCTCAAGACAATAAGAAACATCACAAAATCTCTTCATTCTCTTAAATGTATGCCAAAAATGTATTTGACCTCTGCTATTTATTGATAGTCCCGTGGAACTAATGTTCAATTATTTTTTTAATGTGTGACAACTAGATCTATCCATCATTCTACTCCAATAAAATCCATTTGGGAGACATGTATGATAGAACAATGGGGTTTGCTTCAGAAACTTGTAGAATTTTAGGCAATTTCAAACAGCAAAATTAGATTACAGATTAGTGTCAGTACTCAGCATTAAAAGATCAGGAAATGCAAAAACATGCTGAGAGCACAGTTATACTTACTCCATGTTAAAGATGAGGTTTCTGATACAGCCATGGAATGATCTTCTCATCTTGAGCATGGATGTCCCCTCACCCTCTGGAATCCCCCCTATGTACAGGTTGGATACATTTATTGTTGTGCTTTCCACTGATGGTTCCAACTTCATGTCTACAGGATTTGTCTCATCCAATTGGACAGTGATAATTCTAAAAGGTCAAAGGAGAAAATGAAAGAAAAGCTTTCAAGTATAATGAAACATAACTGTCCCTTTTAACACGTAATTCCATATGTACTTATTGAACAACAAAAATTCTCTGGAGATAAATTTTAACATGACACTGTATATGAATAAATAGGTGAATCTTGAAAATTAAAACCTACTATTGAACATTCTCCAAAACTGAATGGAATGTTATTAAATATTATTGAGATCAATTGCTTTTTTGGAAGGTATTTTTCTTTTACTTCTTTACCTGTAATATAATGGCCAGTGTACTTTTAAAATATACAGGAATGTTGACATTACACAATTTACTATTTTACTCTTTACATTTTACTATTTACCGTTACTATTTACTATTTTACCATTTATTATTTAGTGTTGCTATAATGTTATTTACTAATACCATAATACTATTTCCCACAGAATTAATCTAATGTAAAGACAATTTATAGTGGGCCCCAGAAAAAAGCAGAGTTAAGGTTGCTGAATTATGAAAATTCCGCAAATATCTTATTACAACGCAGTGAAATTAACACACAAGGAAGTATTCTAGCAAGGTTTTAGAATTGTTTTGGAACTAGAAGAACTCTGACTGCTAATGATGTCGTAGCAATCATCCGATCATTTGTACAAAGAGTGCCTTACCAAGGATCCTACTGGGGAACCTTTGTGAGGTCACCATGCCCTAGTTACACAAATACCTTCCACTCCTTATCAAGGAGACAGAATGCTCTTGTCCGTCGGCGTACATGCCCGTGGGAGCATGCAGGAGAGCTCTTCTCAGACTTGTTCCATCCCCCAAATTGACATGCACTTCAACGTGGCCTTCCATCAGCATGATAGCAAAGAAGGGCTGGGAAGATTGCACAGAGAATTCCACAGAAAAAAACATTATTATATGATTTTAAAAATTACCATCTTATGAAGATAATGTGGGAGCAGTAGCACCAAATAAGCAATCTCTTAAGAATATCACCATCTAAAACAAGTATTTTAAATTTTGCATATTACTTTCTAATCTCTATTCATATTTTACATTCTCTATTAGGCTATTATCACTAACCATATCAAAGAATTCCATTTCTACATAGTCTTCATACTTATTTTTTATTGCCACATTATGTACCAACAAATTGGTACACTGTAAGTCATTAATCCATTTTCTTTTTTTCCAGTGTTATTGAGATATAATGCACATATAACATTGTATTAGTTTAAGGTGATGATTTGATCTATGTATATATTGCAAAATGATTACAATAAGTTTAGTTAGCATCCATCATCCATCACTTCACAGTTACAAATTTTATTTCTTATGATGAGAACTTTCAGATCTACTCTCTTAGCAACCATCAAATATACAATACAGTATTGTCAACTATAGTCACAATGCTGTACACTACATCCCAGAACTTATTTATTTTACAACTGGAAATTTGTACCTTTCGTCCGCCTTCACCCATTTCCCACCCTGCTCTCCCCTGCCCCATCTCTGGCCACCACCAATCTATTCTTTGTTTCCACAAGATCATACAATATTTGTATTTCTGTGTGTAATTTTACTTAGCATAATGCCCTCAGGGTCCATCCATGTTATTGCAAATGATAGGATTTCCTTCCTTTTTATGACTGAATAATATGTGTGTGTGTGTATATATATATATATATATATATATATATATATATATATCCCATTTTCTTTATCCATTCATCTATTGATGAACACTTAGGTTGTTTCCATGTCTTGGCTATTACAAATAATACTTCAAAGAACATGGGGGAGGCAGATATCTCTTCCAGATAGTGGTTTTATTTTCTTTAGAAATATACTCAGGAGTGGAATTGCTGGATCTACTGTAGTCATATTTTTAATTTTTTGAGAAACTTCCGTACAATTTTCCATAGAGGTTACACCAATTTATATCCCCGCCAAGAGTACAGAAGGGTTCCCTTTTCTTTACATCCTTGCCAACACTTTTTATTTCTTGTCTTTTGAATGATGGCCATTCTAACAGGTGTGAGATGATATCTCATTGTGGGAGCTACTCCTTTATTGTTAAAAATTTAGGAAGTTTACACATAATTTTTAGGACCATGTATAATGAACACTTAACTTTTTTGCCTATGAAATTCTTTTTAATATTTATAAAAGTGGGATTAAAGAATTAAAGGGTTTGAAAATGTTTAAAGCCCTTAAAGCTTTTGGGGAAGCACTGAAAAGAGGTCCACCAGTAGAACTGGAATGTGTTTCACAATGCTCTTGCTAGCATTAGATGACAACATTCCTTTTTGCTGACTTAGTAGCAAGCTTTGATTTACAAGTGGCCCTATTAAGATTGGCAAAGGAAAACAGTTGATGGTTCCTCAGAAAGTTACACATGCAATTATCATATGACCCAGCAATTCCATCCTAGGTATATACCCAAAAGAAATAAAAACAAGTACTCAAAAAATATCTGTAAGTGTATATTCATAGCATTATATTCATAATAGCCAAAAGGTAGCAACAACCCCAAATGTTCATCAATGAACTAATATAAACAAATTACACTATGTACATACAGTGGAATATTATTCAGCCATAAAAAGAAGTACAGATGCATGCTACCATGTGGATGAACCTGGAACACATGCTGAGTAAAAGACCAAAGGTCAGGGCCGGCCGAGGGGCGCGTTGGTTAAGAGCTGGCTTGGGACGCCAGAGGGCCCCTGTTTGGATCCCACATATGAGGGCCAGTGACACTGCCCTCTACAGCTAAGATGTTGAACAACAGCTCAACCTGGAGCTGGGCTGCCGTGAGTCACCGGCGACGGCGTAGGCTGCAGCCCCTGCTGCAGTGGGCTGCCATAAGCTGCCGCGTGTGGCCAGCAGCCAGGGTGAGCTGCCAAAAGCCACCGTGAGCGGCCGTCCAGAAGCCAGCAACTGATCTGCCTCACCCGGGAAGAGTGCAATGATGGTGCCAACTTGGGCCAGTGAAGCAACGTCCTCCATAACTAGACTGAAGAACAAAAGGACAGCAACTTGTCTGTTCCCCTTCCCCCGATTCCCTAACGCTCTTCCCCTCCCCCAATTCCCCAATAAAAAATCTTTAAAAAAAAAGACTAAAGATCACATGTTATGTGAGTCCATTTACATGAAATATACAGATTAGAAAAACGCAGAAAGAAGGTTGGTGGTTCCCAGGAGAAGAGAGAGGGTGGAACGGAGAGTGGCTGCTTAATGGCATAGGCTTTTATTTTGGGTAATGACAGTGTTTTGGAAGTAGATAGAGGAGGTGGCCTCACAATGTGGTGAAAGCTCTAAATGTCACTAAATTGTTCACTTTAAATTGGTTTGTTTTATGTTATGTGAATTGTACCTCAAATGAAAAAAGGTAAAAGATTGGTGGAGCCCATAAACCAATCTGTCATTGTTAGCCCTTCACCAAGTGGCTCATGAGTTATTTAGGGGTCTGCAAACTGGTGTTTCAGTCCTAGCTCTGACATATAACAGCTGTGTGACATTGGGTAAGTTAACTGGGCTCTCTGAACCCATTCTTCCTCAGCAAAATATAGGAAGCAGCATTCGCCCTGCAAAGTAGTTGTGATAATTACACAGCAATGTCTGTAAATGAAGATACTACTCTACCAAATGCAGCTGCATTGCCTCTGCTTCATTAAGACAATAAATTAGCATTTTGTGAAGTTTCTTCAAATTACGTGATATAACAAGATTGAGCAGAGGAAAGGGTAAATATCACCTATGCTACTGAAATGGAATACAAATACAGAAAACCATCAACTTCTCTCTTCTCCTACTGCTGGTCCACTGTGCTTATCAGAGCCCACATTTCTGTTTCTGCTCCTTTCAATCCTATATTAGATAAAGAACATCCTGCTTCGTGGAGCAGTATGCTACAAAACTCTACAAAATTTGAAGATTGACTGTTTTAGCCTTAGAATGAGGGGTAACAACCATAACATGTGGAAGAAAATTCAGTATATACTATCTGAATGAATTTAGAAAGAATTAGAGGTAGACAGCAAGGATTTTTCTTCTCAGTAGCCGGACAAGGAACATGGATGATACAACTCACAGAAATTGCTGACTTATAAGTGAAAGACATTCAGCAATAGTCACTTTTACTTATTATAAATGCATGCCCATAAACAAAGTTTACAAATAGGTCATTTTCCATCCACTTTTTCCCCGAAGCCATTTCCTTCCTGAGCTCATGACTCTCTAGCATTGGAGCTACTCACCCGATGGGCCCGCCGATGACCCTCCTCATCCCCATGCTTGCCCAGGGCAGCCAGGATGATGCCACTGCTGTTCATGGTGGCAAATGTTACCAACAATTCTGAATCTGGTGACAAAGACTTGGGTGGTAATTCAATGTAGTCTCCTTTCAAGAAGCTAACACTTCGGATAGGCTGGTCACAAAACAGAAGAAAAAGCAACATCAGGCCCACCTGTGTGCTAAACTTCTCATGATGGAGGTCACTGCCAACTTTCCCCATCATCTCTTTCCTTCTCACTCCAATGGTTTAGATTTTCTTACTTTATTGTGTGGAAAAATCAGCGGGCATTAATAGAAACTAATTCCAATATTAATAAAATGCTTCCTACCTCCAGTATACAGCCTTTTCTCACTCCATAGGAATTTCTGAGTAAATCAAAGGTCGATCTGGATATTTCCAGGTTTTTGATACAGCCCATGTAGCTTTTGTTGGTGATTCCTTTCCTGTAGGGAAGGATATGAGAACAACAGGGATTAGAATTCCGTTTTTTAAAGAAGGAATGAAAATGAACCTATGAAAAAGGAAGATGTGTTTCCATGTGTCATTCTGCAGCAATGTCTAGGCCTCCCCCAAAAAGGATATTGAGGGTGAGAACTTCAGGTCAAACAAATGCTGTTCTTAGGACTAAAGAGAGGGATCAAATTTAGTGCATTTGATGACTTAGATGATTACCTGGATAAAAGTATGTTTAATATTTTAAGGGAAATCATTATAGTCATTACAATTTAAACATACCAAAACATAGGACAATTATAAGAAAGACACAGAACTGTCTGTCATAGGGAAATTACAGCACAGGGATTACAATGCAGTCTCCATGTAGAGCAGAACATTTGCTCCCACGAGAGCAAGCACAGGCAATGTGATTTCCTAGGATCACATGGCTGGAGAAGTCATTGGCTATTGTCCATACTGCATAATCCTGAACTTTGTCCTGTAGGAAATCATTGCATTTGGTAAAATCTGGGATTATTCAAAACTCTTTCTTAGACTCTAAGTTAATACCATCGTTTTCTTAATAGAAGTTGCCACACTGCTGTGATGAGTGGGGTGAGGCTATCATGTACTCAGGCTCTCATTTCCAAACATACGAAGACTACTGAACATCTCTGAGACATACTCGTAAGCATCAGTTAGTCACAGGAGAACACTGCAGTAACACGGTTTCCTGTTAGAGTCACATCTCACTTTTCTTTCTGTGTTGAACAATGAGCTGTGGACCACTAAACTACATGATTTAGGACAAATTTCAACCTTTCTGGAGCTCAGTTTCTTCCATTGTAGATGAGAAAGCTGGCCTTGAATATACACAAGACCCTTCTAGCAGGAGTCTGTGATTTGGGATGTCTTCCTAGAAAGGGGGCACTTTCCTTTTCTCCAATGTCTACACTATGTGCCATTTAGGCAAAGCCCAGATGAACTGTGACACAACTTGTTGCTACAGGAGGATACCCACACCATGTGAGGGAGTGATATCTGGAGTCAGGATTGGGAGACGGGCTTCCAGTCCTGGCTGTGCCTTGGCAGAGGGGTAAGACCGGGGGCATGTGACTAACTTCCAGAAGTTTGTGTTCATTGTCAAGACCAGCAGCATGACTGAGGTTGTAAACCAGGTGGCTTGGAACTTCCAGATATTTCTGGCAAAGAGAAGGAGGCTCATGGGAAAGGGGATTCTAGATTGCTTAACCCATAGCAACTGGAGTGGCTGTACTGCTGTGCCACATAGTAGGATTCTGTGTAATAACTCAGCCTGAAGGTGGCGTAATGCTACAAATATACATTTGAAAACCACTGGGCTGGGTGACTCACTTTGGACATTTGATGATCCCACTCCCTGGAAGCTATCTTGCCTTAACTGCTAGCCTTTTAGTTATAACTTAAAAAAAAAAAAAGTTAGAGCTTAATCTTTCCAATCCAAAATTGCAAAACTGAGGACAATGAATCACAAAAAGTTTATGTGAATTACTAAAGTCACAAAGTTAAACATGAATCAGTGTTATAAAAGGATTTTCTATCTTCTCTGCCATTCCTCATCCAACTTACTGATGCTGATCTTTCAACTTTCTAATCACATAAAGGTAGAATGCAGGTAAGTCTACAGAAAGCATGACTTTTTTGCCTAGAAAGAGATTCTACTTTTCTTAAATGTTGAGAGAGGAGAATGAGTTGTGGTGGAAAGTGAGATCTCCAAATATTACACAATAACAATTTCTAGACGTTCTAAAAGCAATCAACATAAAATCATTAATTTTACTGCAAAAGGCTTTCTTCACTTCCCAATTAATATGGCTTTGACTCAAAGGACATTATTATGGGTTAAATTTTGTCCTCCTCCAAACATACAGAAGTCCTACCCTCAGTACTATAAATGTGACCTTAGTTGGAAATCGGGTCTTCACAGATGTAATCAAGTTAAGATGAGATCATCAGGGTAGGTCCTAATCTAGAATGACTGGCGTTCTTATAAAAAGGGAAATTTGGGACACAGAGACACACACACAGAAGGAAGACAATGTGTGGACACAAAGAGAATGTCATCCACATATGGAAAAAAGCCTTGAAGTTACCAGAAGCTGAGAGGTATTAAACAGATTCTTTCTCACAGCCCTCAGAAGAAAGCAGCTGTGCTTGATTTTGGACTTATAGCCTCCAGAATGGTGAGAAAACACATCTCTGCTGTTTAAGTCACCCAGTGTATGGTACCTGGGAAACTAATATAACTGGTAACTGGGGACATGAAAATTCCGTACTGTGATATCATACCTTACAACTCTTGACCTAGGTATTCCACCCACATAAATTGGCTCCTTATCAAGACGATTGAGGTCAGAAGACGCTCCTGGGGTTTCACCTTGTTTGGTTTCCTTATAAGTAGTGTTATAGGCATCAATAACTGCTAGGAGTCCTAAAGAGATTGAAAGGAATAGATAAAAAAAATGAAAATCACTTCTCACATTAAAGCGAAACACAAACGTCTGCTAACAAAGTTTATTTACATTCTGCAAATTTGACCAGCGAATGTTTTAACTATTAACTGAAAATCCTCCACACAAAAGTCAATAAATTCAGAATATGCATCGCTAAATGATGGCAGTATGTTTGTGGAAGAAAATAGAATTGATTTGGTTCTTGATCCCAATCCAGCATTTAATGTTAAATAATACATTTGGAAAGCATACACACATAGAATTATAATATTCCTCCAGCAAAAATATGAGCACTGGTGCTTAGTATTCCAAAGAAAACAATGGATTTCAATTAGAATAGAATTCAAGAATACCCAGAAAGCTAAAGTAAATAAGACTGCTGATTTTGGAAAGATTTCTGTTCCTCTGACAGAGACCAATATTCTGTCCATCCAGCTGTGCATTTACCTTGCTTCCGGTTTCGCTGGAAGGTGATTTTGTACCAGGCTCCATTGTTATAACGTCGGTCTGTAACAAGAGCAAGAGGCCCTGAGCCCAGGTCAACTGTGACTTTAACTCTGCCATGGACCAGCTCGATTGATAAAAAGTCTTTCTGTAAAGAAGAGAAAGTAGTTATCCATGGCTACATCATTATTACAAGGTTTCCCTTCCCTTCAAGTCAGGGATGGCAGAAACCTTCTAAAGTCAAACCAAGAAAGCTAGACCTGGCCCAACAGCCAGAGGTCTATGCTATGAAACTAAAGGTCCACAGAGGCTTTCTGGAATACTACACAGATATGAGATAAACTCATTGTTACCAAAATTACAATTCAGTAAGAGAAGTGAACTCTCTATCTTTTTCATTGAGATTGACAAATAGGCCAGTTCTAAAAAATAAAACTAGATGATTGAGAGAAATCACCAGTACATAAAGATTAAAAATGGGGACATGAACTTCTTGTGGATGGATTTCAAATAAGGCCACAGTGGTCAGAGTGAACACAGAACAACACATATTACTTAAGCTCAAAATTTAATAACAAATGTTTTATTGTTACCTATAATGATGGGAAAGCCATTTTCTACTTCAGGCTTTTCCAAAGGTTCTTCAATAAAGTATATTAATATAATAAAGAAATTATTTAAAATGGGGACATAATATGGTATATGTATGTATATAAGGGTGCCAAAAAATGTATACACATTTTAAGAAAGGAAAAAAACTGTATTAAAATTACGCTGATGGTAACCACTTTGAGCACCTCTCGTAATTGCAGAAGTCAAACGTGACTTGTATTCATCTAGCTATTGGTATATATTGAGTATTACAATTTTATTTATTTATTATTTAAGATTTTATTGGGAAATCGGGGAAGGGGAACAGACATGTTGCTGTCCTTTTGTTCTTCAGTCTAGTTGTAGGGGACACACCGCTTCACTAGCCCATGTTGGTATTATGATCATTGCGCTCTTCCCAGCTGCGGCAGTCGGTCGCCGACCATTGGACAGCCGTTCATGGTGGCTCAAGGCAGCTCATGGCAACTCTTGACGGCTGCTGGCTGCCGGCCGCTCACGCTGACTGCTGGCCACTCACAGTAGCTCACGGCAGCCCAAGGCAGCAAATGCTGCAGCCTACACCACCGCCGGCGACTCACAACAGCCCAGCTTCAGGTTGAGCTGTTGTTCACCATCTTAGCTGTAGAGGGCGCAGCATTACTGGCCCATGTGGGAACTGAACTGGCGACCCTGCTTCTCAGAGTTCGCACTCCCAAGCCAACTCTTAACCAACTGAGCCATTTGGCCAGCCCCTGAGTATTACAATTTTAATACAGTTTTTTTTCTTTCTTAAAATGTGTATACATTTTTTGGCACCCTCTGTATATTGATATATGCTCAGAAAATAGTTATTAAACATAAATATCTAACTGTATATACACAGTAGGGCCCAGGCCCCATAAAGATTCTTACAGTGCCATTTGAAGCAAGATAGAGAAGAAGCCCGTTAGCTGAAAAGCTACTAAAAAGCAAAATTATGTGCGTCACGGTAGCCCGGAGCGTCTTCTCCACAACAGAATACCCACTCCCATCAAAATGGAAGGAAGAGTCTTCATTCTGGGGACTGCAAAGCAGAGCAGATGACAATCCATTCTCAGGAAGGTAATTAAAGAGAACAAATGACATAATTACAGAGTTCTCCCTCACAAAAATCATGGTAGAACTATTATTTCCATAATCTGATAACAAGTGTAAATCATAATATATTAAAACATATTTGTCATAAGATTATGCAAGACAAATGCCCAGTTGCTATATAAGTAAAACAAAGGTAATATAGGCAGTGTTCACAGTAGTAAAAAGAAATTTCTCCAAAGGATGGATAAGTACTATAAATATATCTATTTATCAACAAGATTTTTGTTTAATTTCCTTTAATGGAACTGTTCTTTCTTAATTCCAGTGCTTTCAGAAGAATTTTTATATTGGCATTTATCACCCTGTTGGTTGTAACTAATATATCAGCTAAATGGAATTAATGAGGAAAAATAAATATACACTATTGTACCAGAAGGATCATTAAAAAAAAAATTTTTTTTTGACAAAACCTCAAAATCTGCAGATGAGCTTACAACAGGGTTATATAACATGGACCACAGCACTCGTCAGATCAGTGTGTTTTCTGGTTTTCCCCATGCCTCAAAAGGATGACTTCATACACCATTAAATTACAAATTAAGCTCATCTGGGGCATATCATTATTAGGTTTCAAAAATACTTTTCTGGACTCTCATAGAGCTTGAGAGTGAAACTTGGATTAGGGTGTTATGGGGTACGAATTTGAATTTTTCCCAGTTGAAGATGTAGTAACCCAACTCAGTGTCACATCTCCAAACAAAGCAGAATAACCAAACAGAAAAATTGTTTCCATTAACAAAACAAAACAAAAAAATAGCAGTGCTTTTATGAAACCTGAGGTTTCCTTTATAACTTCCTGTTTAGATTTTTCTAAAAATTTCTGTCTTCCTATCTCTTTTAGGATAACTTAAAGGGAATGCACTCTGCATAAACTCTTAAACTATAGCTTAATTCTCAATTCTTTAATTCTTAAACTTGTGGCTTCCTAGAAATATGTTCCATTGCTCTACTTCTTGGCTGACCACAGCTTCATGTGGCTAAGGACACAGATTCTAGAACCAGACTGCTGGGGTTCAAATCCCAGTTTTCCAATTTACTATCTGTGTAAACTCGGAGAAGTTACCTACCATATTTCCCCATGTATAAGACGCTCCCATGTAAAAGACGCACCTTAATTTTGGGGCCCGAAATTTGAAAAAAAATGTATTACATAAAGTTATTGAACTCAAGTTTTATTCATCATAAAATTCATACAACTCCTCATCACTGTCAAAACTCCCAACCATTAGTTTGTCTTCATCTGTGTCTGATGACCATTCACTGTTTTCATATATTGCCTCGTCCTCAGTTCCATCTATGGCATTTGAAATCTACAACCATTGTATAAGATGCACCCACTTTTTAGACCCCAAATTTTTCAAAAAAAGTTGTGTCTTATACATAGGGAAATATGGTAACCTCTCTGTGCTTCATTGCCTTCATCTATAAAATAGGGATAATAATAGAATGTTTCTGGGAGACTACATGAGTATATGATTTAATTCATGTGCACAGTGCCTGGCACATAGGAAATGGTCCATTTTAGCTCTAATTATTCTGTTGTGTTCAGAGGTCCTTGGTGGGTCCCCATTTTGCAATTTAAAGCTGAGCCTCAAAGATTAAGTTCCTTGTCCAAGGACACACTACTCAAGAAAATGGTGAAGCCAGGTTTCAAATAAATCTCCAGAAGGCTGTCTTGTTCCACTGTTCATTCCCTCCCTCAGAGAGCATGTGTGTGTTCTCTGTTCTCAAGAATGTGGACTCCTTGATTCTGGCTTCTCTCCTTCAGTGCAGCCTGCCCAAAACTGGCAGCCACATAGAGTGATGCATTCAAATTAAATGATGACTCAATGCGATTCTACTGAGGTCAATGACACATTTCTGGGATTTGTTCCCCCACATGGCTTCTGTTCTGTGACCACGAGGCCCACATGCCTCTCTAGTCAGCCAGATGCTGTCTCCCAGGTGGGCCTCAGGAAGGCAGCTCTGGGGCCTGCCTAGGTAAAAGACCTAGGGTCTATCACAGCCCTTCAGGGATGGTTCTGTTCCAGCACCCCGTAGTCACAGGTGGGAGTCCTGCAAGCAGGGGAGATGCCCTCCCTCCCTAGATCTCACCTCTGTGAGCCTAAAGGAGTCACTAGACCTTTCTGATTCAAGCTCTCACTCATGAGATGGGATAATGTGCACTGTACTGCCCATGAGCATGTGTGCAACTGTTATGTGAGTGAGTATGGCCTGAGCCCCAGATCTAGCATGCTGCTTCATCTACTGCTGCCCGACTTGCCACAGCACAGAACACTTTTAATGTTTCCATTTAGGCATTTTTCCCTAGCCCATGAGACATCAGAGGAGACAAGCTCGAGTGACTAATGTTGACATACTGGTGCCTAGCAGAGGGCCCGGAACACAGATGAATGATCTATCCCAAAGGTCAGCTGCATAGCTCCATCGCAATAGCCACTCATAACTAATACAAGAATAAAGGCCTGTTAATTAAGTAGAAGGTTTTTTTTCCCCCCACATTTAGATGAGAACTGTTAGAATCAATGGTTTTTTAAATATCCTTTAAGAATTGAAGAGATTATTCATAATTGTAAACATATGTTGACACCATGTAAAGAAGTGTAAATATATTCAGAGGAATAAAATAACCCAAACATTTCTGTTAGTTTACTTGGTAATAACAAATTCAAGGTAAATGCTCATATTGAGAAAAACAAAATTGTAATTTACAGGACATCAATAGATGACACCAATGATTTAATAATCGTAAATTACACACACAGGTAAAAAGGATAATGAATGCAAATCACCGGTCTGTGAAAACAGGTTCAGTTACTTGAATTAGTGTATTAGCTCTCTGAGCCAGTTTTTAATAGGTAGGGGCGGTTACCCACAAGGAGGACAGGTAAATCCTTTATAAAGCAACAGTTCATATCTACATTAGCATTTGTCAAAATATGTTCCATGGGACATAAGCAACTCCAGAATGCTCCTTTTTAAAAAGAGTTTGGTGTCAAGTGAGTATTCTTTTAAAAAACATATTTTTGGAAATGTTGGTCATTATAATTCAAGAGTAGCCAGTTGATTTGTTCAGCACCCAGAAAAATATGTTTAATTAAACCTTAGTTTGATTGTGCTAATGAGTCAATTTGGCCTTAACGCTCAGCTGGGTAGCCAGCTCTTTACCAGGATTAACATCAAGAGGGTGGCAGCATTGCTAAACCTTCTCTCAGTAGCAAATGTCTTCTTTCAGTCACTGACTGGTCCAGGGCATGTGACAATCTGGTAGGTCAGACAAGTATGATTATTGTTTTCCTTTTCTGGAAGAAGAAATTAAACCTCTCTCTGTGAGTTGTAGTGACTTACTACCCCAACTCACTGAAAGAGATTTGGTAAAAGAGTTGGGCCAGGAGCCCGAGCAATTGAGATGCCAAACCCAATATATTTTTTAGTCCTAAAACTCCAATAACCAAGCTTCTTTCTGGTCATAACTTTTTAAAGCAAACTAAGGAAGTCGAAGTAGCAAATTAAAGGCTTAAACTACATAATCCCAAGCTACGAGTCATATGAGATAGCAGACCCAACAATGACAAAATGAAAACTCACCCTCGAATTTCTAAACCTAATGGAAGTTGCTCCTAACTGATCTTGTCACAGCTTACTGTTAATTACACATATCTTTCCAGACAGAGCAGTCCATTAGATGAGAGAAATTATATCAGATGTTACATTTCTCTAATGGCAAAGGGAATCTGTTGTCTTAATTGATAAAAAGCTGGAAAACAGGTCTTGCATATTTATGAGGTAGCAGTTATTTCATTAGAAAATAATAGAGGGGGTGTTGAGCTTAGTGACATTGTTATTAAATGCCTTCTATTATATCAATATATGCAAAAAGATGTTAGGTAGTTGTTCTCCATCTCCAAATGCATTTGATTTCCAGAATTATATAACTTAGGAATAGGAAAGAGCTTATCTATAAAAGTTGACAGCACAAACAAAAATTCACATCCTTGGAGGTATTTTCAAAATAAAAATGTACAGTGATTTACCCAAGACTTAATTGTGGCTCTTTGAGACAGATGGTTGTTTGAGCAGATGTCTGACGCTTCTCAATTTTATGATCCATGATCAAAGCATACAGTACAAGACATAGCAACAAAAGCACTTCTCTTTAAGGGTTAAAAATGGTACCCATGCCTCTGTTAGTAAACGGTCTACATCATATCCTTTGCAATAAGAAGACTGGCATCACAAACTCTATCCATCCTTGATGTGCATGTAAATTCTTTCAGCAATTCCCAGATGTTAACAGAATAACTTACAATGTGTTAAATCGTGAGGGCATATTACCTGCCAAAGCAGCCATGGCACTTGCCCTCTCTTTCAATATAGTTCCACAGACCAATCGACTGTCCATTCAAGAAGGCCTCTCCCATGCAGCCTTTGAAATGTGTAACCTTCACAGCGGGAGACTTCTAACGTAAACAAACAAACAAACAAACAAACAAGGAAAAGGAATAAATTCTCTAAGTGCACAAAATTTCTCCCTGAAATCTCAAATCTAACAGATCCAAATTTTGAGAAAACAACATCCACAAAAATGGTCAGTTTGTAATCATTGGATTTCCTTCCAATTATGAAGCGAAATCCTAGAATGAATGACAACTGGACAGGATCTTAAAGGTCATTTTAGTTACTAGGGTTGCTAGAGAAAAGCCTCTTTTACAGATGAGAAACAGAGACCCAGAGAATGTGGTCAGTGGTGAGGGCCTGGCTGGCACTGAGACCCTCACTCTCATGTGAGAGCACTGAACCAAGTCCATGTGGCCCAATGTTATTCAGTGAGAGGATGGCTGATTTAGTAAAATAAATATAATGGGCTTTTTCGCTAAACACTAGTTAGTTATTAGTCTACCAATGGAGTTAGAATAGAGATAAAGGAACGTCACAGAAATGAATGTGGAATATTCAATTTACTGTTTCATCATTGGAATATACAACCAAATGGCAAAATGAACCCGTGACTTCATTTGAATTTATACTATTATTAAGCATGATCCTTTACCCTATAAAAATCAACCTAACTCTGCAGATGAACTGTCATTAAGCAAAAAAATCTTCATCTGCCTAGGATATTTAATTATATTAATTTAATCATATTAATTTAATCATATTAATTTCTTAATTGAAATATATTTGACATATAACATTGTGTAAATTTATGTATTAAATTTATATAGAGGTAAAATCAGCCAATCAGTTCTATGCAGATGAGTGTTCATAATGCTACCTTGATCTGTCCTCCAAGCCCTCCGACAAACATTAGTGTTGAATTGTTTATATCCAGCACATTAGCTGCTCCTGGGGATTTACTTGTTTTAGGTGGTGGCTTTTGAGTTGTACTCATTTCCTTAACAGTCAATGAACCAATGTTTCCAAATCTAAAGGTCACAAAGAATTGCAAAAAGAATACTTTCAGAATAGCAAGTCAGTCCACACACACAACATCTGTTTCATACACAGCCTCCATCTACTTCTCCCCGCGTCCACCGCCACAGCCCCCAACTGGTCTCCCTGCCTCTAGTCTTGTTCACACAAACCCGTTTACTCTCCAAAATTTTGTAGAGTAGTTCTTCTAAAACACACATCTCATCATGTAAAAACAGTTACGGTTTATCATGAGTTGATAAACAGTTATAGTTGATCATGAGTTCAACTATATTTGAAACCGTCTACTGGCTTTAAGATTGCACTATTTTTATATTAACACATAACAAAGCAAAAGACAAATATTCCCAATAACATACCATCAACAACAACAAACCATAACATTATGGAAAAGTAAAAAGAAAGATAATACCTACAGCTGCTTAAACTAGTTACCTCTGGAGAGGAGCTTTAAAAGAATTTTGCTTCGTGTCTGGATTTTAAGAAAACGCGTTCCCTACTTGTATCCTTGTCTTTGTCCTTTTCTACTTGCATTCCACTGCCAGCCATGTGGAATTTCTACTATGCTGCACTTACTCCCATTTACGGGGCTGAAAACATATCTCTGGGCTGCCTCAGACCTAGACCTAACATTCTAAAAGTAACATAAATTTTTAACTGTCTTCTTCTTTTATTGTTGGTTTTGGGAACAAAGTTTATTTCTTCTGTAATAAGGAGAAACATAACCTTATTGCTACAATTAATCTAAACCAGGCATTCTTTCACTAGAGTTTGGCTTCCCAGAAGTTTCAAAGATTACTATATGATGTTACAAACATGTAATTACTTATAAGATACAGTTTAAAAAAGAGATGCTTGGGGAGAACTTTACTACCTGGTTACGTAGATACTGTGCCATTTGTTGTCATCAATTGGGAAGTCTGGAAATTCCAACCGTGCTGACCCGGAGCCCATATCCCAGAGGAAGGCCACTTTCCCTCGTCGCATCTCCACTGCCAGGAAATCAGACTGGGGTGCAGGGGCATGAGTTGGCATGAATTTACATGTCAGACTGCTTACATGACTACTAAACACTTCAAAAAATCCTACGGCATTTCCTTTATTCAAAAAAAAAAAAAAAAGCAAAAACCAGAAAACTATCATCTTTTATCTTTAAATGCTCCTCTTAGAGCTGGCGCATGAGTCAGAGTACTGGAGACAGTGGCCACCCCCCGCCATTAGTGCCTCATCACCTCCACCCTACGTGATCCTTCACAATGCCTCCCTTAAAGTCCCCCAGGAAAACTTGCTGGCATCACCAGCAGACTACAGGGACCATGAGGGGAAGCATTTCACTTGAGTGTTTACTCGTCTAGAAGACAATACATAAATTAATGTGAAATACACAATAAGAAAGGAACCATGAAATCCCACATCATGGGTTGCATGTATTTTGCACCGCGCCTTAGCTTCCAAGAAGGCATTTCATTTAATGTCTGTGCTTGTTAATATTTTCTGCCCTAACACACCCAAGGGTTCTGACCCATTCTCATTGGCACAGCCAAAGATATCAACGGTCCTCCATTGGGAATTTGGGTGGAAAAGCCTGAGTGAAGCTCAACAACTGTGATATGCCTTTGGGTGCATACCTCCACTCCTAGTAACCACCACAAGATCAACTTTACAGACACAAAGCTAAACTCAATGGCTTCAGAGGTCACAGAAGTTATTACAATAAGTTCATCGAAGCTACAGCTTGCAATTAAGATAGCAAAGGGAGGCACTTTGCCTTCCTCAATGTCACTTTCCTTCACACAGGTATTCAACTTCGTAATTTATTTTTACTCTAACGCTACCAGTTTGGCAAAAGGTTACTTCTCTTAAAAGAATTAGTGATTTCACCAAGGCCCTATATATATTTTTTAATCAAAGAGTGTTAATTCAGAAAAATATACTTGTTTGTAAGAGATTCGTTGTTTTCCGTGGGTCCATACTCACGCTGGTGCTGCTACCGAGGTAGAAGAGAAGGTTATTGGGTTCGCTTGTTTTAACATTTAGAGTTAAGGTGTTATAGTTAGTAGAAGAAATCTGAGGCTGGTAGGCCCGGATACAATCTCTGTCTGCAGACACAGCAACTTTAATCTGTTGGAGGCAAAGGAAAGTGTCCCAATCATTTAGTGACACACTTTGGCAGCATGCCAGGAATTCAAAAGTACTATTTCATGACAGATTTTCATTGTTAGGCAGGTTTCCTCTCTTGATAGTATATAATGCTTTGTGTTGCCTAAAGTGAGAAATGAGATCATGATGAAAAGTATTTTATTTGGTAAAGTAATTAAATATGGAAAAGTCAGTCTTGGGGTTTTAAAGGAGTATTTTATGTAGGAAACTGTTTCCCTCATGTGAGATATAATTCCTTAAAGACAAGGAACTTATCTAAATCACCTTGGAATCTTTACACCAGACACAGAGAGGATATTTGATGAGTACTCGTCAAATAAATGGAGGGATAATCTATTTATTCTTTCAGCAAATGTTTAGAGAGCATCATTGCACTTACTATATATTTCTCTAAGTAATTATTTGCACATAATCTTATATTCACCTTCAAGATGATAAGTTTGTATTAACCATAACATTTGGAACCATCCATTGGACTTACAATTTTTTAGTGACTGAACCAAAACAGATGGAAGCCAGAGCTCATGTAAACCTACAGCACTTTTCCAATAGTGAGGTCACTTGGGAGGGGGTCAAAGAGCTCAGAACTCCTTTATCTTGACTAGAAAGCTTTAGGTGAATAAATATTAGACCAGAGGTCACATTTGTCTTCTGTAACATGACAATTGCATATTTACTTGGAAGTCTTATTATTTCTCTGAAATGCCTCTCCTTTAGAGCACAACCAATACCATATACTATGGATGGCTAGAAAACATTTTCTTAAGTTTGTGCTTTTCCAGGTGCCAAGTGTATTTTATGTATTGGATTTGTGTAGCATTTGTACATATACAAACTATTATGTCAGACTCCTAGAGGATGAGGCCCATACTGCACAAATATTCTGAAGAGTTCTGGATTATTAAAACCAGCTTGGTAAAATGATGAGAATAACACCATATGTCACCAATGAAACTTAAAGTGATGTTAACTCTTAGACAAGGTGTTCTAAACCATGATCTAATAGTTATGAATCTATAAATCTAGGCTACAACTACAAATCTCCATGACATGGAGATCTCTCTGCTAACAACATTTTGAAACATGTTGAATAAAAACAGAAATAAAGGGCCAGCCAAGTGGCTCAGTTGGTTAAGAGCTCGCTCAAGATAAGAGTGCGAGCTCTGAGCAATAGCAGTTCAATTCCCGGCCCAAGCTGAGTTGCCGCTGAGCTGCCAACAGGTGGCAGGATGGCTTAGCTAAAAACACAAACAAACAAAAAAACAGGAATAAAAAATGAGACTAATTAAATATATTTAAGGCTTTAAATATACTGAAGACAAGGCTGTGAGGAATTTGGGATTACTGAAAGCTGGTCAGTAGAAGTTCTTGGAGACTCAGTGTGACCAGAAAGCCATTTCTACATGAATTTTCTGGGACTTGGGGTTCCTGAGAGCATCAGCTCAGGGGAAAGGCTGGATGTTACTGAGAACCACAGGGCCCCACACTCACAGATGCTGCTTGTTTCCGAGCCTGGCTGATCAGCAGTTTAATTTCTGAAAGGTTTCTGCTTAGATTCTCTTCTAATATCTTCAAAGGCTTCAACCGATCAAATAAAAGGTTGGCTTGTGTTTCCACATCTTTAACTTTTCTTCCAGCTAATAGAGCTAACAAATACAAGGTGACAAAAAAGTTGGCAGGGTGGGGGACAAGGACACAAGAGAAATTAACTCATCATTACTAATGCACTGGGTAAAACAGAATAGCCTAATAAACAAATCCTTGAAATTTTGATACACATGAAAAATGCACCAGCAATATGCACTACCGAAAGCCCTTCTCTTTCTTTATAAATGCAAATCCAGATGTTAGTGCATTTTAATTCTTTTTAGGAATGCTGTTTGTGAACAAAGCACCACTGTACACTTGGCAAATTCAAAATCAATCACATGATGTAGACTTTCCTAATGGGAAGGCAGACCGTGACATACTGGTCATTGAAGAGTCCCGTAGAAGTTCATTTGTTTCTTGGAACATGGCTTGGAACCTGGACAGGTCTGTCGATGTGTTCAACAGCTTCTGACTAAGTCCCACAACATTGTTTAGTGTGTTCACAGCACTCTCATTGGCAGATATGGCCAGCTCTTTGATTTTGGTTCCCTTATTTCTGACACCTGAAATAAATTTATGTGCATGCAAGCATGCACTCCAGTGATTATACAGACAAAACCATAAACTCACAACAATTGTAATTTTACACGAAAACATGTTACGGTATTCCTTATTGGTTGAACACAAAACAGGGCTTCTTATTTTTAATGACAATATTAAGCCTGCTTATCATATACCCGACTGCTTCCTTTTAGGGACGAATGAAATAATTTTGGTTCTGTGTATTTAAATATTATTTCAACACACAATGAGATGACAAAAGCAACTGCTAATCGCCGTGTGCTCAGGATCTTATATGTTACTTCTTTATTTAGTCCTGTTTCTATCACTCTCTTCTTATATTCATTAAACACCTTCTTCAAATCATTCCATGTCTGGATAAGAAGGTTCGAGAATTTAAATGTGTAGGTGGAATGGACTTGTTTTAGGCTAAACGAAGTGGTATTTTCCCACATCAACTGGTTGCTAGAAATAACACCAGAATAAAGACTAAATGGTCACTAAAGATAAATTGGTATTCAGTTATTCTAGAAAATCTGAGTGATGATTTTTTTAAAGGCACTAGTATTCATTTTTAAAGTGTTTAATCACAAATGGGGCAAAAATTAACACTAGAGGAAGCTGGAAAAAGGATATGCAGGTATTCTTTTATTTTCTTTTTGCACGTTTGAAATTACTTCCAAATAAAGTTATTTTTAAGTGTTTAATCAACATATACCATGTGTCCTCAAAAAAAGGAACATTCAGATCAAAAAATGTTCCATTGATTTAAGGTAGGAGGTCCAAAGTGCCCCAAGCCCAGCTCCCTAAGGTAATTTTTGTGCTTACAAAGTAAATCAACTGATGGAAATTTGGAGATGTTTGAGCATCTTGTAAGACTTTTTAAAAATTCTTATTAAGAAAAAAAAGAGAAGATTGAGGGACTGTAAATAATGTACCACAGCATGATTCATTTGTATTACACTTTAAAAAAGTTACCCTATTTAAAATTTTAATGAGTACTGCATTTCCAAATCATTAATATTAATATGATCTATTTTAGAATGCTTTATTGCCTCATGAAGAAAGATTACCAAGCAAGAACTTTTAAATTTTCCTACATTTATAATGAATCTAACGTTTTCCCTTAAAGAAGGAACATTCCAATTTCTTTACTTGCTAACTTCTTTGAATGACCCTTTTTTCATTTAAGGGATGTGATAAGCACTTTTAAAAGTAAGCAATTAATATGATAGCATAAAGTCTCTAAGGCTCCTGTTTTTCGGAGTATAATTCTAGTATTTCAATGCAGGTGTTCTGAACTTATTAAACAAATAGTGACATTCACTTCCAAATCATATTCCTTTGCAAGTAAAAACCCTATCAATCCTGGTCACATTTCTAGCAAGGGCTCTTAATCAGACCAGAGGCAGAATGTCCTCCTATTCATACATAATGGTTTTGCAATGAGAAGACATTAATTAAGTCATCTCTTTCCACTTACCTTCAGGAATTGTTCTAAGTACCAAGAGTGATTCATTGGTCTGCCTAGTAATTTTATCAGCATTCTCTTGAAATGTGTTTGCCGTATTTTTCAACTCTCTCAGTTCCAATGTGATACCTATTTAAAGAGGAAAAAGTGTTCCATTTTAGGCTAGCCTACTAAAAAGTTGCCATGGCAACCATTCCCTTCATCACTTTGACCCATCCACAGATCAACAGCTTTCTACAGAGACCCCCAATATTGAAAGTTCTTCTGTAAGACTTAGCACCCTTGATTATAATAGAAATTGTGTTTTTAGATAGCTTGATCTTTTTTCTACTTTGCTTGTTGCCCTTCTCACTAATATTTCTTCTAAAATTGCATGTCCAATTTAATTAGAGCTCAAGGTGAAGAACTGTGTTTAAATCACTCAGTCTCAATGAGGCTCACTAACTTCCTATCCACACCTAAATCATGGTTGTATTTCTCCTCTGAGTTGTAAAACCCCAAACCTGGGCTCCTCCCTGGGAATCCTCCTCCCAGTCTTCTCCCACCTGTTTCCCCACCAGGGCCCCTCTGCCTCCTTATGTTATTGGATAGCTCTTACATATGCCAAATAATTGTTTACTGAAACTCTTAGGAAAAACTAAACTACATAGGTATTTTTTTAATTGATAAGTCAATTGTGATTCAATTCAATAATTATTTCATGAGAAACTACCATGAACCTAACATTATATTAGCCCCGTGAAAAAGGCAAAAAAAATACCACTCATAATACAATTCTTCAAGAAACTGTAAAACAATGAGAGGTGAATAGAGGAGCACATGAAACCAAAGATAACCTGACAAACACTATGAAGACCAGTGAAAGCTCGGGAGCTAAAGCACAGTGGAGGATTTGGTTATCAAAGAAGGTTTAATGAGTATATGGAAAATTAGGGGTGACTACACATTAAAATAAGAGGTAGCACTAAAATAAAATTTTAAATTATGTGATGTTTATATAATAACAAATTGGAATGTTATTGTGACAAAGAAAGGTTAAGCTTCAAATTTCTCTAGGAAAAGAGAACGTTTGGCAATATGCTCAGAGAGGTGATCTTATCCACATAGTCCAAGCTAGACACTGACCTTGATGCTTTCTGCTCAGGCTATTGCCTTCTTTCAGAAATTTCAAACTGAGCTGGAGAGCCACTTTCCCATTAGACATGAGGGATTCTGAGAACTGGAAGACAGAACAATTTAAACGTGGTGACTGGAGGGCAGAGTGGAATCCTGCTGGAGACGGGATAAGCAACTCTATCAGAATAGCATCTGGTCTAGTCAACTATAACAGGTAGGGAGAGTTTAAATTGTCCTAATTTATGTTTAATATATGCCTTAATGTATGGCTGAGGAGAAAGGACACAGGCATTTTTAAATATATAAAGACAAAAACTAGCCATTAAGTGAAGATCTTCACCACAGGTAAGAAAAGATGCCTCAAAAACTGGCAATTATAAAAGTCATTAGGATATAAAGTACAACATCAGGAATATAGTAGTAATATTGTATTACATATGTATGGTGCAAAGTGAGTACTAGGCTTATTGGGGGATCACTTTGTAAGTTATATAAATGTCTAACCACTATACTGTACATTTGAAACTAATATAATATTGAATGTCAACTGTAATTGGAAAAAAAATTTTTTTTTCTTAATTTTTTTTTATTTTAAGATTTTTATTGGGGAATTGGGGGATGGGAACAGACAAGTTGCTGTCTTTTTGCTCTTCAGTCTAGTTGTGGAGGATGTTGCTTCACTGGCCCAAGTTGGCACCATCATTGCGCTCTTCCCGGGTGAGGCAGATCAGTCGCCAGCTTCTGGACGGCTCATCATGGCAGCTTCTGGCCACTCACGCTGGCTGCTGGCTACACACGGTAGCCCATGGCAACCCACTGCCACAGGGGCTGCATCCTACGCCGTCGCCAGCGACTCACGGCAGCCCAGCTCCAGGTTGAGCTGTTGTTCAGCATCTTAGCTGTAGAGAGCAGTGTCACTGGCCCTCATATGTGGGATCCGAACCGGGGCTCTCTGGCATCCCAAGCCAGCTCTTAACCAACACGCCATTCGGCCGGCCCGAAAAAAATTTTAATAACAAGAAAAAGAAAAAAGAAAGATGCCTCAAGTAGATATCAAGTGGCATTATCATTTTTGTCATAAGAAATCGTAAGATTTTCCTCATCTTTACATCACTAATCCCTACTCTTTATAAAGAAGTGTTTATGACCTTAAGAAATTAAAACTTCTATCACATGATGACAGAAGCCATAAACAGATCCCACCAGAAAAGAATATTGACAAGCATAAATTTAAACCACTGAGTCTTTGCTCAAGCACCTTAAGGAACAATCTACCAGCATGCCTAAAAAAGAGAGGTACACTCCGAAGCCCACGGGCATGTCTTACCAGAATTGCCTCAGTCACAGTCCAGAGAGCATCTTTTGCCAATTTTTCTGATTCTTCAATCAGGCTCCTAATGTTGGAATGGATGTGGGTCACACTGGTTGCATTCAGGGACACATGTCTAACATTTCCAAGGCCACTATGAAATCAGCATATTTAGAGATGTTATAATAAACTAAATTGAGCTTTCCCACTATTCTTAAAAGCCTTCCTAGTTTCTTTCCCCTTAGAACAGTATCATCAACAAGGAATAGCAACAATATGGATTCCCCTCTGGCTCCAAAAGGAATCTTGAGAAGCAGTAGCCACATTGTCACAATAACACTAAGAATTGCTGTTTAATTAATACCCAAAGAAGAGACGATGGCTGTTTCCCATCCTTTAACCATTCATCAGTTTCTGCCAGCTGCCCTCAACATCATTTGATCTCTGTTCAAATCCCCTCAATGTGTCTGAGGTATCACTACATGTTTGCATTGGTAGTAATCACTCCTGCAAGGCATTTGCTAATTTTCAAAAAGCTCTTCTAAGCTTATATAAGGGTGCTGAGTCTTATTCTCAAACGGTATACACCAATTTGATAAAATTCACTAGAGGTTTTGGAGGAGGATCAGATAATATTTCAATCATGTGAACTTCATTCACTCTTCCAGATGAGCAAATCACTAAGACACTTGCCAACTGATAATGGTGCAATTTCATCCAGCTACACTATATTGAAACTAAAATCTGACAATTGACACATCTTTTGTCTGCTGTATAACTCATTTCATTTTCTTCCCAAGGTTATTATTGAGTTGGGTGATTCCCAAACCAGACATCAGCAGTTATTACTTGTTACTACTTGATTGGTAAAATTCAGTGATTTATGAATAAAAGATAATGTTATTTAACTTTGTATCATACAAAATTGTTTTCACTATACATACTAAGTAACAAAGATTTTGTTCTAGCTATGTATGTAGTCAGAATATTGTTTTGTCTTTTGGGAAATGATGAAAGATGATGAAAAGGGAGACACTAACTGAGCATCTAATACCATTTTGTATTACTGATTCTTATTGCATGTATAGGCAGTAGTGCTCAGTGTAGCACCTAATTTATGCAATATTCTATCTTATATCATTTTTAATTGCTGGCATTGTGTGATCTAATCTTTTATGGCAGCATTCCTCAAATTGGAAAGATATTTGTTTTTCCCCTACCACAAAACACACCCAACATTCAAAAAAAATTCCCAGTGTGTCCAGACTTTTTCCATCTATAATTGATAACAAACTTTAAGTAAATAAGTTTACCAATTAACTTACAATATTGTGTAAATCACTAATAAGGCCTAAAACCCTGGTTCCCTCATTTGCTGCACATTAGATCACCTGGGGATCATTTTTGAAAAAATTACAAAGCCCAGGCCATAATCCACATCAATTAAGTCACAATCTTTGAGTGGGGGAGGAGGAGAGGGTTGCGGGTGCTGGGAGGAGAGTCGGGGTGGGGGGGACATTAGGTGACAAAGGTGTCAGTATTTTTGACATTCCCCAGGTTCTTCTAATGTGCAGACAAGATTGGGAACCACTGTCCTAATGTTATGTCTCTCAATAAAGACACTTTTAACAAGCTGAGGACACATTTAACACATATCCAAAAATATAAGTTAACGTTATTGTAATACTATGGTAGCTCTCCAGGCAGTAGAAAATAATTAGGGGTGATATCTTTCTGGAATTGGGAAAGAGAATCCTAATACTTCTATAGGTCCAGTGTGGGCAACCACAACCTCCAGCCATGGATATAAATCCAATCAAAGCATAAGCTCCTAACAGGCAAGATACATAAAGAAGTTAATATACTAGTCTGTCCACATGCAACCTAACAAAGCCCTGAGCATTCAGTGGATGCTTAACAAGGCCTTGATGGCTTGATGTTGTGGTATAATATTTGCTTTAATACCGATCCACTTCAGTTTGTTTCTCTATCATAACTTTATGCTGATGGTCAAGTATGTTATCAGACATGGGAGGAAATCCTCCTTACCATGTAAATAAAACAGGAATCCTCATTTTTTTTTTTTTTTTTTT